TCAGTTCGGTTCTGATTCGAGAAGAAGGGTCCACCCAACTCCCCGTCTACTATACGAGTAAAGCGCTCCTATCGCCGGAAACCCATTACCCCGATATGGAGAAGCACGCTCTGGCCTTAATCACGGCCTCCAGGAAATTGAGACCCTACTTCCAAGCTCATACCATCCATGTACTTACAAATTTTCCCCTGAGGCAGGTACTCCAAAAGACCAATGCCTCAAGAAGACTATTGAAATGGGCAGTGGAACTAAGTGAATTCGACCTTGTGTTCAAGGCTAAGGCAGCCATCAAGGGGCAAGCCTTAGCTGACTTTGTGGCTGAATTCGCCAACCTACCCGAGGTGGATGCAATTATGGAACCCATTGAGCCCCCTACGTGGAGCCTCTTCGTTGATGGTTCAGCTGGGGAGCTCGGCTCAGGCGCTGGTATTGTCCTCATAAGCCCCGAGGGTCACAAGCTCACCTCGGTGGTGAGGTTCAGATTCAAAGCCACCAATAATGTAGCTGAGTATGAGGCACTCCTTGCGGGCCTCAGACTGGCCAAGGAAATGCAAGTAAAGAGGTTACTCATCGAGTCGAAGTCCATCTGTCGAGGCTCCTTTTTGTTCGAGGCCCATTGACCGAGGCCTACGAACCGAAGCCAGGCTGCTGAAACCTGTTGAGAGCAGTTGAGGCCCTCAAGTGGAAGTATCATGACAAATGGCCGAAGCCCCGAAGCTGATGCGCGAGCCTCTGAACCACAAGGAAACATCCTCCATGGTTACTTCTCCCAAGAGATCGCCTGCACAAATCTTATTCGAATGATTGATGGAACGTTTGTCATAAGCATAAAGGTCAAGTCTTGTCACTAGCATGGAGGCCCTGCACAAGTAATAAATGCGCCGCAAGCTAGCAAGTCAAGCCCCATACCTAGGAAAAGATGTTTGAACTAAAGAGATGAGACCACGTGCTACTTCATCCAAGGACTCCCATTTCATAGGTATTACTATAAATACTCCCCTTATGTAATATCAAAAGGCTAATGCAAGAATCAATACAAAGAACTACATTTACTCAACTCTCTTTCATTTTACTTGCAATACACAAATCAAGTTTATACACATTTACATATACATTTATGAACACCGATTGGTAATTATTGTACAATCGGACTATGAACAACCCGTCGGATTCCGAACGTCACTGTCCCGCGTCGTTGGGCTACTCCCATGTCCTTCGAACCGCTCGTTTTAGACCGTCCACGTGTCTTAGCGTGTTGGGCATTCGCCCACGCAAGCGCGAGTGAGACCGACATCTGTTGGCGCACTTTTTAGGGTCAACAACATCTATAATTAATTTAACTAAAAAAAAATAAAGATAAAAGTGCAACCAAACCATATCAATGATATTACAACAAAAATTTAGAAAAAATAAAATACCAATGATTACAAGAAGCCCTTTCATCCAATAAATAATTTAGTTGAAGAAATCCCTGCATACAGAATATGGTCCAAATGGAAGCCTCTGCGACATATGATGCAAAGTTCCTGGATACATAATTGTCTTAACAAGTGAGTCACATAGATGCTGAGTTGAAATTAGTGAACATTGCACTGCTGTAATAGAGGATGACTATAATCCACATATTTATCCCAAAGGGGTTTATACTTTTCCATCCCAATCTTTAACCACGGTTTCGAGTTCCCATTAAAATGCAGCACAGCTCCCTTCTTGATCAACTGAGGATCGACATTTGTGTATCCAAGACCTAGAACATGCCATGAGGGATTTAAAGGCTCTGTCAATCCGTAGAAAGTTAACAATCCCGGGGGCAGGGTGCCTAGTTTCCATAAGGTCCTGTCCACATTCTTTTCCTGCCAATAGTGGTAGATGCCTGTGACATTTCTTTTCCTCCACTGGACCAAGTCAAAAACATTCATCCCAAATGCCCACCCACATGCATCAGCATCGAAATGTTCACGAATTAGAGGGTGAGAGTAGTTCAAGTACTTGTGGTATCTATGGAATGTCTCCATGCATGTTTCCACTGCGCCATTGACATTTCCATTCAGATCTATGGAGAACAGGGATGACAGGTCCTTCTGAACTACAACGTCATCATCAAAAAAAACTATTTTCTTCAGTGCAGGAAAAACTTCGGGAATGTAGAATCTGAGGTGGTTAAGCATAGATAAATACTTAGGATTCCGGAACTTGATTGGAGTACGGTTATCATCATCGCTACCAGAAAAATAGTAGTTTCGGGTGTCCGAGTCTTGAAGTTGCTTAAGAACAGGAACATAAGTAGCATTCAACCAGCTAAAGTCTTCTATCTTTTGAACATCCACAGTTACTCCCTGGAAACTGTTTGTAGTGAACCAAGCATTCATTGCAGCATAATTCACCTCATCAGTTATGAGGTGGAACACTACAGTTTCAGGATTTTTGGAATTCCATGCTGTTGAATTTACCACAACTGAAGTTGCAAGGACGTTGTCAGAGAAGATGCAGAAATGATAAAGGTTATTATCCTTGAGTTTTATCGCAGTTTGCCTTCTCTCCTTGAGTTTCCTCTGTAAATTTGAATTCTTGAACCATTCACTTGTTAACCGGACACCAAGGCAATACAAACTCTTTGGAACTTCTTCAGCAGCTATTTGTCCGTACTTTGAACTCTTCTCATTAACAGAATTCATTTGTTCTTCGAGACCCTGGATCTTTGCTTTCAGTCTCATGATCATGGTTGCACTGTCATAGTGGAGTTGTTGGGCTTGGAAGAGCAAAAGTGCCATATCACGAATTGCAGTTTCTGATTCACTTGTTGTCAAAGGAGTTCTTCTTAAAGCAGCATTAGAAAGAAGGATTTGTGAGTTACGAATTTGAGCACTAAGTTCCCATGCAAATTGGAGGTTGTTGCTTTCTTTAGCAATGACAAGAAATGCCTTTGCTAGAGAAATTTGATCATTCAATTGCCTATCTACAGAATCAGGACTCAACATTTCATCAGTGATATTAAGGCCTTCTATAATTTTATCACGTCTATAGGATCTCTGCATGGAATAAAAAGCAGACATAAAAAAAGAAAAAGAAAACTCTCATTCTGCACTAGGAAGGTTAGAATGATATGATGAGGAAATAACACATAAAACAATTAACTGTACAAAAGCAACAATAAGATAATTAAATTATAGAAGAATATTTCGTTAGCAAAAGACAGCCAAATAATGTCAATTAAGATGCATGTCGAATCCAACACAAATGAATGTATGTTTCCCCTTTACACGAGTGCAAATTTGACAAACATCCACGACTTCAGACTTCCAATCCAGCCTGGCATAGACAAAAATATTTGCTGACAATAATAAGATTGGCATGCAACCATGGCAAAATGTTAAGATCAAGAGGATCTTTGCATGGAACATAGTTTCAGAGTACTCTAGGAGGAGTTCTTGGCACTAAACCTTTAATGCTTAAAGCCATCCTACTCTGATATACAACAATAAACACCTGCGAGAGAATATCTTGTCTGGTTTCATAGTTGTTTCTATTTAAGGAAACTAACATACAATAACACCCGTTTCCAGAAATAATTTGATATAGTAGCTATGAAAAGACAGCAAACAAACTTAAATAATTATTTTCTGTTCAATGGCCTATAACACATTTTTTAGGTGAATCCTACCGAAGCCCCACACGTGCGCAAGCCCAAAATTGCCAGTGGAATATGATGATGGCATTTTCTTCGTATATCTAAGTACCTCGACTACTGGGCATAGCCATGTGTTCTAGGGTGTATTTAATGCCTCAATCTTCTTGACAGAGGCCCGTAAGAACAACATTTGACATTTTCTAGAAATAAGTGCTAAGACAACATTCAGAAACTGTAACTTGCTGCATTGTGTTCATATAGGTCAAAATGATTATTTCATTTACATTATTATATTCTTCTGATACCTATTCCTTGTTAAAATATTATTTCTCCACCAAAAGAACAAACTTGTACTTTTCCTGATATACATATATTTTCCTTAAATCACCATCATTTTCAAAAAGAAATAATCAAAGATTGCAAATTCATTTAACCCTGATAACCTATGATACAATCACCATTCATGGAAAAAGATCAAGAGCACGATTTGTTATACCGAGTAAAATGGTGCCCTAAGGGGTAGGATTCTTTATACTATAAACACTGAAAAATCTTCATGAAAAATTTAATGATGCTATTATATTCTCTAGATGATGAATAAATTTCATGATTTGAATAAACAATACTGCAAAGGGAATGCTATTAATATTCGAGAAAAAGGTTAGCATTCCAAGTCACCAGTATACCCAATTTTGGACCAGTGTACGAACATGTTTCTAAAGCTATAGCGATGTCTGGTAAACTTGGATGAAATCACACCTCCACCATTCAAACCATGGGTGCTTTAATCTTTGCATCAGATAACTAGAGTACCATTTAGTGAATGCCCATTCTTTCGTCTCTGACTTCTACTACATAGAGTTCAAATGCTCAAACGAGTTTCCTCCAGTACACAATTATGAGGTTGGCTGATATAGAAGCTCCAAAAATGGGATAGCCTGGATCTGGACCTTAGCAACAATTTTCAAATTAAACCTAGAACAACTTATGTTGAATGTCATCTATGTAAATGCAAAGCGTCCCTCCTTAAGTAATTTTTTTTATGATCCCAAATCCCATCATGATCATCTAAAACATGTAAACCATTGTCTAAAATAAACATCTCTCTTCAATCAATGTTTCAGTTAACGAATCTAAAATTCTTCTTCAATCATTCTGTTAGGTCTAAAGGTGTAATTGGGGATTTTGTGGACAAAAGGACTAAATTGTAAATTTGTAAAAGTCAGGGACTCAATTGTACAATATTATAAAAGTCAGGGACTTAGGGTGCAATTTAGCAAAGCTAGATGGTAGGCACTAGGGTTTGAGTGTTTGGTTCAAATCAAGGTCGCGGCGCCGAAAGTTCGCTAGCTATTCGCCCTGCCGCCGCTCGAGCGAGAAAAGCAGAATGGACGTCGCTCGCTCGCCGCTCGCTTTTCGCTCGAGCGAAGTACTGTCGCTCGCTCTCCGCTCACTTTTTGCTCGAGCGACAGTGTTATATGGAAAATCGCATTTTCGATTTTTGGAAAGTTTGACACGGCCTAGAACTCGAAATTGCCCCCAACTATAAATACAAAGGCCGTGAACGAAAATAAGGGGTTGCTTCATTGTGCTTTCATATTAGAACACATTCATATCATTGTGACGAGATCCAAGTATACAACCAACTGGAGAATTCATCAATCTTATTCTTGTGATCCGGCAACCAATATTTTGGGAAAAATATCAAGTTTGTGAAGACAAAACACCGGTACTTTTTCATCTGTTGAGGAAGGGACTCTCTCAAAGGGGGATTGAGAGAGGTGGATGACAAGCGCAGGAACTGGACAAGAACAGGAGGTTATTGGAATTCCACTTGGTGATACAATCAACTAAAGACCAAGAGGTTGTATTGGACAGCAGATTGGGCTGCAGCAGGTAAATCGGGAAGCTAGCATGAGACTAGTAGTATCTACGACAGTAGATCGTGAGACTAGAATAGCGGATCTGACTGGGTACGGAGTTTGGCAGAACTTGTACTTGCTGAATTGCTATAGTGGAACTTACTGATTTGGTCCCGGAGTTTTACCCACGTTGGGGTTTCTCCGTCATCATATCGTGAGTTGTGTTTTGTATTATTTTATTTACTTTACGCAAACGGGTAGTTCAACATAGGAATTAATTGGACTGTATATTTAATCACCTAGACAATTAATTAAAGTGAAGTGTTGCTTTGATTAATCAATTCCGTAACGAGGTCGAATAATAAACTGATTGGAACGTAAACTTGGTAATATCTAAAACTTGAATTTGACGTAGCACAACGTTCATTGTGAATTTTCAAGTGGTTGTAGAACGTTCCTGAACTTTCACATTAAAATGGCCACAATTATGTAAGACAAATTCTAGAAAACAGCTACCACAATAGGCTGCTACTTGCCTAAAGTCATTGCCAATATCACAAAACGAAACACTAAACTTACATATATCTATTTTCCTCCTCCTAAATATTTTTTCTCTAGTAATTTCCAAAAATGTTAATCAATCTAATTATTTAAAGAGGGCATTTTAATCTAACCAAGCAGTACTTAAAACTTTCATGTTAGTCAAGAAAAATGAGCGCATTAGTGCTTAAACTGAAATTCTTACTTACCTCTCTCATTCCTGCCTCTCTCACTGCTACACATATCCTTCTCCTTAACATGTATATAATAATTTATTTCTTCAGTTCTGTATGACTGTATGCATACACCTTTTTCTCTTACATTAACCACATCTGGAGTCAAATTTCTGCACAAGTCCCTTCTTTGAGGGAAAAAAGATTGAGAATGTAGCATTCAAAAACTAAGTGCCTCTGAGAAAGAATAGACTTCTAGATAGTTTACTGAATTTACTAGCAATTTCCTATAGGATTAAACGTTCATCAATATCCTATAATCTAAAATAAATTGCAAAAACGACAAAGTCAATTCAATTGACATTCCTCTCCAATCAATAAGAATCCCGTATATATACATTAAACACTTCGCAGAACTGAAACCGGAATGCCAGCGTAAACAATTCTTCCCTCTTTATACACATTCCATCAACTACATCTCAAATTTCCATCATTAACAAAACAAGAAGACGCCCATTAAAGAACAAACAAATTAAATGTACCCAGGTCATCAAACTAAAATCTAGACTCCAATGAAAGGTTTTATTACATTTACGCGATTTCTCAGTTTCTCGGTTCAAATCGGAAAAAGAGGAAAAAGAAAGATAAATTGAGATCAATAATTACCTTGGCAGCCGATCTTGAAGTGGGCTGCTGATTCTCTCTACTTAACAGACCAATAAATAGCAGAATTACTAACCCACACGAAATTATCCAGAATACATTTGAAAATCGTCGCCTCACTGGTCGCCGAAAATCTGAGACTCGACGCCTCATTGTTTATTTATTCACTCGATTTTGGAGAACAATAGTTCCAACAAATGCAGGGAAGTTTAAAAATGTAATCAAATATATATTAAGGAGAGAATTGAATAATGATAGGTTGAAACGAACAATTGGATGTTGTGATTGAAGTGTTGTTTTTTTTTTTTTAAAATTCTTATTGAGGAAAAAATCAATACAAGTGTAGGGGAAAATGCGCAATGCAGTTAAATACAAGCAGGAGATCTAACACGAATTTGGAACTGGACGGGATGATCTGGAATTTACAGGCAACAATTCGTATAAATGTCGGTGGTGATTGCATTGATGAGTACTGTTTCACACAAACTAATTCAACAAAATTTCAGTTGCAATAATCTGGTTAAGTACTTGTAGAATTCTGTTTTTACTTTCAAGCTGAAACTTGTGTAAATTTTAGTTCTTTTTACTTTTTCAAATTTTGGTTGTGTATAGCTTATAGGCACAAGGTTAACTATTATATACGATGATTTTATTATTTATTTTTTCAAGGAGTCCGAGTGATTTTTTTATTTTTATTTTTTCAATTTTATTTCGTACTGTTGAGCTTGATAGTCGAGCTTGGATAATATTTCGAGGCTTGATCATCATAAAAAATAGTTGAATTGTGAATGTTATTTTTGTTGATTCTCTCTCTAACATACGATGATTATTTTTCTCATGATAATAGTTATTCAAGTTTATAAAGGTTATAACTCGATTAAAAATATTATGCTTCATCATGTAATCAAATAGTGCTATTTACTACTCTAATGTCAACAAAATTCGTTAGAGAAAGTGTGTTTATTATACAATTTAAGCACAAAAATGTAGCCATAATTAAAGTTGAATTATGTTTTCTAATTAGAATGTGTTTAATTTGCAATTCCTAAGTGCCACGTGAAATTTAGAGGGTGTTTAATAAGCATTTTTTATGTAAAAATACATTCTAAAATAATAAATTGATGTGAAATATGTAATTAAAAAATAAGTAAAAAATTTTGATTTACGTGTAATATTATTTAATAAAGAATGTGTGGTTAAAAGGAAGAGAGAAAAATACATTTTGAAAAAAATGACTACTAAACGGGGCCTTAATGTCTTTTTTTCAATCGAATGATCATTAGTATAAACATTTGGAAACTTGAATAACTATTAACATAATAAACATCAATGACAATTGGTTTTCAGACATAAAAATCCTCGTATTACCATAATAAAACATCAATGACAATTGGCATAATCGCTCAAGTTCATTTGAGATTAACCCCTGATGAAACTGATGGCTTCAGACATAAAAATCCTTGTATCACCTACTTGGGCATTCCATTGCATAGAGGGAGAGGGCACAAGAATTTTCCATGCTTTTCTATTGGGTGATACATCTAACAAGAATCAACTTCACTGGGCAAAGGCTTAATACACAAAATAGCCAAGGCACGAATTGAGATTTAGTATTAGGGAAACAGATCTTAATACAATGAGTTGTGACCAAATCGATATGGATCCCTATACAAAATCATCAAGGCCTGCTGTCTGCAAAATAACACGACAGGAGTCCAAAATCTACAGGCCCTTTGAATATATTACCCTTACACCTTTAATAAAGGACAAGAAACAGAACTTCTCTCGGGGCATAAAATGCCAGAAAATGCACAGTTGCAGCCTGGTGTGTCACGTTGGTGGGTTTAATTCTTAACAATGAAACGTAAAGTAATGAAGCCAAACCATTTACCATAACTAATCTTTGATAACCCACCTACGGCCATGAATTTGATAACCACCAAAGGTCTGATCACCGCTGCTACTCTCTCCACCGCTTTCAGCACTGGTATACCCTGATTTTCGACGATGCTTCTTTCTCCTTGAACTGCCACTGTCGCTGATACTGCCATTTAAGAGAGGATCGTCTATTCCTCGGATCACTCTCCGTGTTGGTGAAGTCGTAGCTATGCAACTGTCATCCTTTGTTCTCCTCCCCTTGTCATGCCTCTTTATGTTCTGAGAAATCTTATGCAATTTCTGATTGAACTTATTGATTCCTTTCTCCACAGGTTCTACCGCTTGAGTGACCGTAAACTTCAAATCATTTACAATCTGTCAAAAAAGTAAAGGTCAACACCAGATCGTTACTTAAACATGACGGAAAGAGTTGATGATGAGGTAACGCTTGAATAAATCTTAATTTGCAGGACAGAAGACAATCAAAGAAAACAGGCAAGGATTTTTAGTCAATGTGAAACACTAAAAGAACAAAATAGACCGAACCCTTTTCTCCTCCTACTCCTTGTTAGCCAAGTGATAACTTCACTAACCCTGTCAAGTGACAAACTACTGAATGCACATAATCACATTCATAAAAATCTGTAAACAAATGAAACAGCATCCTTCTGAGAGAGGATGATAAATCTTTTTCGTCTTGTGAAGCTTTGCAGGGAATCTTTACTTAGGCCAGATACTAGCAATCTTCAGAATGTCAAGAGAGATGGAGGAGGATAATAACTAGATGAGCTTGGTTTGATCATACTAACAACTTTTTCTTTCTTTTAATGCATCCCTCCATCCACCCACCCACGTCACAAATAACTGATCTGCAGAGTCAATCATATGCCCAGGCGCTATGCAGAAGTCAATGAGGGAGTTATTTTGCATCGGAGAAAGTTCACCCACATGAAACCACAAGACATCAACACAACTTTGTTATTATAACCGCATGTTTATAGCATCTGATGAGAAATCATGGAAACCAAGACAAGTCGATTATTCCTACACATTTTAACGATCCTCAAGCCATCTGGGTTAAAAACACTCTGAGATCTCAAGATAAGTCCAATACTAACATATGCTTTGCATTCCTTTTTCCGACCAAGTAAGTAATCCCATACGTAACCAAAAATGTAATGATTGACTATCCCAAATATTTAGGAGATATACATCTATCTTACCCACAATTCCATTTGAAGTCTCCTTCACAATATACACCAAAAACTTCAAGAATCACTGCCAAAATAGCAGTAACTGCTTTTATAATCATCTGCCATAGAAATTTATGTGGTTCATTTCCCATGGTGAAAAAATAGATAATGAGTTGACAATACCATAGGCTAAAAGGTTTATTAGAAGAGGAAAACTTACATATTGAACAATACCAAACTTGATAACTTGGTAAACCCATTGACCCATTTTCCAAGGCTTTAAAATAAGATTCATGGGAAAGGGGTGCTTTACAATTCCCCTTTCAGACCCATGATCTAATAGGGGCATTTTCGCACTTATGCGTCCTTCCCTCTTCATAAATGCGATTGTCCTTTCTTCTCCACCTAATTCAAAACATTAATACATGAGAAAATACAATGAGCTAGTCATACAAGACATGAGTTTTTTTGGAAGTTTAGGATTGTACTGTATCAAGCAAATTATTGATTGGTGACAATTACAACTAACATAACATTAATGAGCTTCTTTCAGAAAACAGAAACATGGATGTTGAGGCCTTTTATTCTAAAAATCAAAAAATAGAAACTGGAATAACAAGAAGTAAAATATTTATAACGGGAAAGTGAAAATAATAAGCTAATCCAAATCTAAATTGTAAACCGTATGTAGACAGAATAACATTGTTTTTTCTTTTTTGAAAGAATGATATTCATACCTAAACATGCAACGAGATATCTCCCGAAGCAATACATGGCAAAGGATTCATAGCAATCACGCAGGATCTCAATATCAACACTAATTGCTGGGTTTACCAATGATACAAACTGCACAAGTAAACCATGTCAGAGCAAGATAAGTTCCAGATGTGATTACATGACTCTTGGATTATCTGAAGAAGTTGCTGCTAGTACCATTGCAATGTTTTATGATGTGCTCATTTTGACTATCCTTCAAAACAAACTGTCACTGGAATATGATTGGATTTTAAATATTGGTACACAGTCTATAAATTTTCCCAAGGCCTTAAAAAACCTGTGGATCAGCTTTTGTGATTAGAAGAACCGACCATTTCTATGCAACTTTCCAAGGTATTTAAAACAAAGTTTGTAAAATATCTTATACTTCATTGCAGAAACTCTTTATCACACTTAGTTACCCCTCAAGACGCTTTAAGATTACAAAAAATCAAAGGGGTTGGGCGGGGAATAAGGGAGGATCCAGAACAAATATGTGCTTCCACTATGCAAATTCAGCTCGATCGGATAAATCATCAAATATTAATCTCATTTCAATCTAGTTTTGAAAAATAATGAATTGAATCACATGAAAGAATAACTTACTGATTCAACAGCATAACACGGCACCATCAATACCACACCAATCAAAAATTTTTGCTCCTGTAATCCACCCACAGTCCACAGAAAACGAACAAAGATTAATTTCAGAATCCAAAAACCCACAGAAAAACTAAGAATAACAAAATCAAGAAAATCGTTATACGAAATCTATGTACGACCTCGGGGTTTTTGTAGGCGGAGAGATGCTCGAATAGCAGATACACAGAGAGGGTCAAAGTAAGGATCACGAAAAATCCAGCGATTAGAGCTGCCCATGAGGGAGGCGAATATGAGCTACCGATCCAATTCAAATAATCAGAATTTATGATATTCTGCAGCATCAATTCAACTCTGGAATTTGATATGGGTTTTTCTAGGTTATTCGGGCTATATTGATTTTTAATTTATCAAAGCTCATACAATGAACTTCTATCCAGAGGTTGAATCAGAGGGGTTTGAATTGGACGATCGAATTATCAGACTGTTTTGAAATTTGAATATATTTATTTATTCCAGTTTGGCCCCCTCTAATTTCGGTAGTCCTTTTTCTTCTTTATTATTCTTTCTTGTATTCTCTCCACGGGACATAATTGATTATTATTTTGGGGGTTAATTTCAATTTTTATCACCAGACTTCGTTTACTTTTGGTTTCAAGCACTCTAATCAGCTATTGTTATTTCATTGGTTAAATTTCACACGCAGTAAATTAAATAAATTTAGGGAAAAAATCAGTGTTTAACTTTGACCTATTTCAAAACTAATAAATAAAGTTTAAAATTTCAAAAATCATATATTATTAAATTTTATTTATAAAATAATTGATTAAAAATATTTTATTAATTATACATATTAAGGTGACAAATCTATATAATTTGGTAATAAATTATCGAATTAATTGATTACAAATTATTTTTCGAGAACAAATCAAAAATTCTATAGGTCACAAATTTTTTTGGAGAACAAATCAAAAATTCTATAGGTCACAAGTTATTCATCGATCCAAAATCAAATCTTTTACTAGTCACAAATTATCAAATTAATTGGTGGTTACAACTTAATAAATTGTGAGTCACAATTACATTTTTCATGTCACATATTATTTATTGAATACAAATTAGGCCCCATTTGGTAGCTATTTTTTTTGAAATGTATTTTTCTTTATTTTCTTTTCAACCACACATTCTTTATTAAAATAATATTACACGTAAATAAAAAAAATTTCCTTATTTCTCAACCACACATTTCATATCAATTTACTATTCGAAAATACATTTTAATATAAAAATACCTATCAAACACCCCCTTAACTAATTTGTTGATAAAAAACAACCAAATAATCGATCGCAAACACCTGTCATCCCATCCCATCTACCCACGACCACCACACGACAACCACCACTTCCATGATCACCATGAACACCACCACCTCACTAGACCGTGCAAAGCCACAATCACACACCACATCAATGCAAACTGACCCACCAACATAGTAATCACACACCAAACTTCAGCACCATCATCGCTACCAACGGCATCACCAAACACCTTGACAACGATCATGGTAAATCGTTGTGCTATTGAAGTTGTGAATAAAATGCTAAAAGATATTACTGATTGTAACTAGCCTTTCGATGGGAAAGTGATGATTCTCAGAGGGGATTTTCGACATTGTTAAGGGATAAAAATCCCACATCGAATAATGATGAAAATATAGACTAACTTATAAGGTCTTTGACTACTCCGCTTAACAAGGTTAACCTTTTAAGATGGAACTCCAAATCTTAACATGACATCAGAGCCTATTAAATTCCAACGAACGATTCAATCTGATTAAGACTAAAAAAATGAACATACGAGTTTCAAGATTGGTCTGCTCAAAAAATGAGCCACCATCTTGTTGGGGCATGTCAAGAGATAAAAATATCACATCGAATAATGATGAAAATATAGACTAGTTTATAAGATCTTGGGCTACTCCGCTTAACAATGTTAACCTTTTAAGATGAACCACAAGTCTTAACAGACATGTTCTTTCGGTGGTACCATGAGAGAAAAAGAAAACATAATGAAAGCTCACACAGACTTCTTTGAACTTTGACCTTTGCTTTCACATCTGTTGCTAGATGAGAATTTGAGGGCGAAGCTCGATCCTACCTTGTGTGATTACTTAATAAGAATTGGAAACAGAACGGAGGAACAACATATTCGTAATTGCATTGAGCTTTCGAAGAGTATAATTGTACTGTTCAAGGATGAAATAACATCTTTAAAAAAAATTAATACATCATGTCTTTCCCAATATAGAAGCATACGCTGACATTTTACATATGACGACAAATCGAGTTATTCTTACGCTTAAAAATTACGTGTTGATCATATTAACAAAATCTATTGGAATGGATTCCTGGTCAAATATTTACATATCATAGCTTTGATGAAGCAATTGATAAATTGGAATAGAGCTTGTAAGAAGATTTACTTAATAGTTTGTTCTCAAATGGTATTCCACCACATGAATTGAAATTTAAAGTAAATTGCCCTATAATGTTACTACGAAATATCAACCCTTCCAAAGGACTATGCAATGGAACACAACTCACTCGCCGAAATTTTGAGAAGAATGTAATTGTTGCAAAAATTACATCTGACGAATGTTGTGGAAAACATGTCTTTTTACGAAGAATCCCTTTTATATCGCTTGAAAGTGAAAAATCTTCAATTCCATTTAAAAGAACTCAATTTTCAATTAGGCCATGTTTTGCAATGAAAATAAATAAAACACAAGATCAAACACTTGATTTTGTTCGTTTATATTTTCTAGAACCAGTTTTCTATCATGACCAACTTTATGTAGTATTGTCAAGAGCTGAAACAAGCAAGTCCCTGAAAAGTTCTACTTCAACCATCAAGCAACGAAAGTTTACACAGCAAATGTTTCAAAAACTTTGTCTATAAAGAAATTCTTTCATTTAAACATCTATAGAAGACCTTAAATTGAAGTGTTTCAGTGTTACCTTCTTCTATGAATGAGTACAAATAGAAATTCAATTTCAGTCATTGCCTTAAAAAAGTGAAAATAGGGGAACACATTTGAAGCCTAGAGTTGTGCTTTTGGTTCTAACACGGGATATGAACAAAAAGTAGGTGGTAAGTGAATAAATTCACTTAAAGATTTCGTTTATGTTCTTCAAATGTTTGTTTTATTCATATGGATTTTGCATTTCATAATGACGTCAGGCATTTGAAGTACCATTTTTTCATTATCTTTCAAAGACAGATTTATAGATTATGGCTTCAAAAAATTGTTGGTGGTGGTGCTACAACTCAGTTATTTCTTCTTATCACCAAAATAGCTAAACCTATTGTAAGAAAGATATAGACATATTTTGTTTCGAACGTTTTTTCTTTTCTTCAAAGTTAAAATCCTATTTTATTTTATATATTTGACTGTTTGTAGATTTTGTTTTATTTAATTTAATGATTTTGAGAGTATTAACCATGATAGATAAACTGATACTCATATCGAAAAATTTTCCACCATTGAGGAAATCTGCTCTGTTGGAGTTTAAGGGTTCAATTTTTAGACCCTTTGGAGTGCTGTAGAGCTGGAATCTCAAAAGTTGGTGTAGAGAGTATATTGATCACCAAAGATAACTCAGGCTCAGTTTATACCCACTTCCAACCACCACAAAGTAGACAACTACAAACCCAAGACAATACCAAGTTCACTTCCTGTTGCCAATGAGATATATCACTTAGGAGACCACAAAGGTGCAAGAAATCTTATAGAATATCATCACTAAGGGTTGTAGTCACAAAGAGGTAGAAAGAGTAGAAGTAGAGAACACACAGGAACGACCGAGAGAGAGAGGCAGCGAACGGGTCTCTCACTTAGAGAGATCATAGACCAATTTATCTTGTAACCAATGACCCAAATGAGGAAAGTGTAATTAGGTTAACCAATGGGCTAAGTTAGAGGCCCAAAAGATAAATAAGTGGGCTCACACGTTTTCTCTTAATTAAAAGATCATCCAAGGAAGTGGGTTGGGCCATGAGTAACACTAAAATATTTAGATTGTTTCGAGTGACCCAATTAATCTTTGGGTTGTATCTTCTTGAATGTGGTGTTGGATTCTCATTCAGTCATTTTGCTAGGCCGACTTAAAAATTAAATCGAGTAACATCATAGCCCGGGGGAGGTCGTTTGACAACAAATTTCCTAACAACCTCCACCTTGGTGTCAAAGGACCTGCAAAAAGAAAAAAACGTTTTCCATTAGTGACACCTCTAATAGAAAACCGATAAAATTGAAATCATTTACCTGTACCAATGTTTAGAAGATCCTTGCAACTTTTAAACTTTACCAGTGATAGCACTTTTATGCCCATATCTGAAAGGTTGTATTGTGTGTGAACCTTTTCAAGTCTTACCACCTCTTGGGATACTATATCTCTAATAAAGTGTAGTCTAACATCAATGTATTTAGTGGTTCATGAATAACGAGGTTCTTACATAAATATATAGACGACTGACTATTAGAATACACAACCACATAATCATTCAAGACACATAATTCATGAAATAAACCTATAAGCCATAGAGTCTCTTTAATTGCTTCAGTAGTAGCAATATACTCAAATTCAGTGGTAGATAGTGCAACAATATGTTGTAACTGTGATTTCCAACTAACACATGAATTTGATAGGGTAAACACGTAAGAGAAAGTCGATTTCCTACCATCCATATCTCCCGCATAATCAACATCTACAAAACCCTTCAATTTCACATCTTCTTTATTAGCACTAAACTTTAGACTTACGTCACCTGTACCCTTCAAGTACCTCAATAACCACTTTAATGCTTTCCAATGTTCAGGACTCGGATTAGCCGTATACCTATTAAGAATATTAATAGCAAAACCTAAATTCGGTGTAGTGCAAACCATCAATAACATTAGAATATGAGACTCTACTCATGTATTCTATTTCACATTCGTTGCAAGGAGATTGTTCTTTAGATAAAATAAAATGGCTAGCAAGAGGTAACGTGATAGGTTTGCAATCACTCATATTAAATTTCTTCAACACTTCAGATATGTATGGAGACTGATGCAAAAATAAAATAGAATTTGATCTATCTCTCTCTATTTCCATGCCTAGAATTCTCTTAACCTTACCTAGATCTTTCATGTCAAATTCACCACTTAGTGTTGCTTTTATATTATTTATCTACTTAGAAGAAGGACCAATAAAAAACATGTCATCCACATAGAGCAACAAAAACAAATAATTATTATCAGTCTCGTTATGTTGAAAATATAGACAGTGATCAAATTTACTTTTTTAGAACCCTATAGTGAGTACAAAGGAATCAAACATGTTGTACCACTTGGGGTCGGGCAAATCTCCCGAACCGAACTGACCGAATCAAACTGAACCGAACCCGACGGTTCTTGTCAAATTAAATACCCGAATAGATATCTGAATTGATAACTGATGGGTGCGGTTCGGTTCTCAGTTTTAGACCAA